ATGTACCTGCAATAACCTCAGGCTCATCTCTGTCATCACGACGTCTAGTTGCATAAACCAAAGCTGGCTGTCTAGCCTCAGAAGCTGTTGGCCCTCTATTTTGCTGAGGTCGGGCTCTACTGTCTGTCCTGGACGCTGATCCTCGAGTCTTTCCTTGACTACGATCTCTAATTGGGGTCTGTACTGTAGTATGCGAACACACAGGAGTTTGGGTAGTGGTCTGCTCAAACGAAACTAGCTGAGGACAATCCCTCCAATAATGACCACTAGATCCACACTGATAGCAAAGACCCATCTTCTTACGACACTCTCCTGAGTGCTGTTTACCACAATACTCACAAAGGGGCCCATTATAATAGGACGAGTAACCGCCTCGATTGCCAACTAACGGTGAGGATGCTGCAGGCCTGAAACGTGTATTGCTTCTCTGAGGGGTTGAAGTACGAGTCCTCTTCCCGAACTGTGCTGATGACTCCATCGGGCCTGAAAATTTTTTAGATCGTTCCTGATCAACACGCTCTCTACCAGAAGCTAAAACCTCCACCTCTTCAGCATCTTTGGCTCTGCCCACCAGCACATCAAATATTTCATCCTGATGGGTTACAACTTGCCTACGCAACTCGTATCTGAGTCCAAGGGCAAATTTACGACATCGATCTCTCTCAGTAGGTACCATACTGAATCCATACTTCAGCAACTTCAAGAACTCGATCTCATACTCAGAAACAGTCATGTCTTCCTGAACCAAGTCTTGAAACTGTTGTCGTCTCTGAGCTAAGTAGCGCTCTCCCAGAAAACGACTCCGAAAGCGATCCTTAAAGAAATTCCAGGTCAAACGATCGGTAGGAACACTACTGATCACTGACTCCCACCAAATGTAGGCATTACCATCTAACATTGCTACAGCTCCCAGATATCTCTTAGTTGAGTCCAAACCCAACTGATCCATGCGTCTCTCTGTATCCTGGAGCCAATCCTCAGCTTCAGTAGGAGCTCCACCAATCTGTCCCCTAAAAGTTCTAACTCCCTTGGCAATCAACGTATGTGAAATAGGAACCTCAGATACAACACCAATAGCTCTAACTGCTCCCTGTATTAACTGCAGAAACTGTCTACTAAAATTCTCATCCAATGCAGCTCCAGTAGACTCTGACTCAATATCGGTCGCTCCTATGATCGGTGTAGTCATGCAATACCATCGGTAGGTGGCATATTCGTTGGGGTCGTAGGAGCAGGATCACCTATCGTAGGTGGGGGATCTACTCGTATCTCATCAATCGGATCTGCAAATCTAGCCACTCGACCTCGTCCACGACTAGTTCGACGACCACGTCTAGCACTCATTTTGGTAGATATCGAGATTACTACAGAAGATAAACTTAAGGTTAGATAAGCACTTGGAGTCTCGAACATAGTTAAAATCTTAATAACTTTGTGACATGGCCTTAGTAACTCGTTTTGTAAAATATTTCAAAACTGTATTTTCAATGTGGACTCATACACAGTCCGAGGGTTAAAAACCAAAAGCTCTGATACCAATAAATGTAACCCCCTAGACCTGGCCTATGCGTTTCGACTAAGTCTAGTGGATCACATTATGATTATTAAAGACATTTTCCGAAACCGTTATTCCATCACATTATAAATAACATGAAATTATAAACAAATTATAATATCAAAATCCAACTCGTAAATATAGTACCAATAAATAATAATTTAATTTAAAACATGTCTTCAAATTCAAAATCACAATAAACCGAGCAATAATAGCAAAAGAGTCATCATTATAAAATCCGATATTTTAAAATAAGGTCCATATCACCAAAATAAATCAATTTGCAAGATAAAAACATTACTATCTGATTTTACTTCAAGAGATATGTTGATCCTCCAAGTGCTCGAACCGAGGTATCTAACCAACAGTATCTGAAAGGGGGAAAACATTTTCAAAATGTGAGCTAGGCTCAGTGTGTCCCAACATTTCCATAAAATCACAATAGGTACAAATCATAGTCCAGTAATCTCACAAATTCGTAAAAGAGTTTAACTTTTGAAAATCATAGTTTAAACCCTTTTCTGGTACACCATCAGTAGTTCCCAAAATTATTTTCCATATAGCTTACTTTATGCACATAGCAAAAAGAAAGCCGACTTAAGGATAGGCTCTGAAGCTTGTATCCTTAAGCCCAAGTAAATAAGTCCATATAGCTTACCCTAAGCACACAGCAAAGGAAAGCCGACCTAATGAAACATCTTGGGGCCCTCAAGAGTCACATTAGGCCCATTTAGCTTGATCAGAGCTATTCCATCGTCATACAATTCCAAAATTCAATTGCACCGTGACATAAATTCCATAAATCCAAAAACATGGTAATCATATACCATTTCAAAACAAAAATTAGATAGCAGCCATATTCCATAAATTGTCACATAAAATTGGTGCATCCATAAAACAATAACCAATGAATTCGGTGTACCACATATTAAAACCAATAAAACAGTTCAGTAATAAGTAGGGAACACACCTCGACAATAGGTTCAAATAGCAAATCTACTGATTGCTGGTTTCACCACGCTCTGCTACAGTTTTCGAACGCGTGAATAATGGAACACGTGGTTTAACTGATCTAGAAGAGCTGGGTTGAGCTGTCGAACGATCCATAGAGTCTCTTGTACCTTCAAACAATAATAATCTATCAGTCCCAAATCCTATTTAATTGTTCAAAACTAGACTTCTTAAGTATATAAGCATTTTTTGGGTTTGACTATCAATTTGGGGTATTTCGAGTTTGAATTTGGCCAAACGGATTGCGGAATCGGAATCAGGACGTCAAAAAACATAAAGTATGACTTTTCAAAAATTCAGATTCTTGGTCAAAGTCAAAGTCAACCACTTTGACCGTCAATTTGGAGGTCTTCGGGTTCGAATTTGACAAAACGGACAGCGGAAATGGATTCGGCACGTCGAAAACTATCAGGATAGGTATACTCGGAAAAGATTAACGGTCGTTTAATGCTCGGTCAAAGCCATTTTAAGTTTTGGTCAAAGAAAGTCAACGGTCAACGGTCAACGGTCGGGTCGGGTCGGGTCGGTCAGGTCAGACCGGTCAAACCGGTTCGAACCGGTCAAACCGATCAGAACCGGTTGAAAACCGGATAAACCGATTTCCAGCAGCCACTCTCCCTGTGGCGGCACGTGTGGCGCGTGAGACGTCCTCCGGGGCCCTAAAAATCCCGGAAAAATTTCTAAAAATTATTTTGAGCGATTTCGAGATACTTACAACGATCGGTTCAAATTTTTGAACGGCGGAGAGCTCGATTTCAAATCGGCCGAATCTTTGACTGCACCACCTCCTCACGCGCCGCCGTCGACGGCGGACAAGGTTGACACCGGTGAACTCGAAACGACACAAGGAACACGATGGTGCAGGAGGTGTCGTAAACTGAGCAACGATCGGCGGTGAATTTGAGATTTTCTCGGCGATAGAGCTAAAAAAAAGTCGATGCTTTGACTTGAAATTCCCGACGTTTAGCAGCGTTTCGCTTCAATTAATTTATGGGGATTGTTCCTGACTCGATAACGAACACGATGGTGGTTTCAATTTGACGATCGGATGTCGAACGGCGTCGGAATCGAACTTGAAAGTCGAGGTGCGGAAGGAGTGAAAGTTTAAGAAAAGCTTTTGTGTTTTCTGATTGAAATCAGAAAACACGTTAAGTTATAACCAAACATGTCGACATTTTTAGGGGGAATTCAGGGCTTGGTCCCTGAATTTCCTTTACTTCGAAAATAGCATACAAATTTTTATAAATTATACTTTAGTTACTTAATTTCACCCATTTTCACAATTTACCTCCAATTTCAATTAATATTATTTTGTAAATAGTCGGGTTGTTACAGTTTCAGCTCGCAAAAAGGTTTGTTGGTTGATCGTTACCCCGGTTTTTGGCGGTGATATTGGAGCTAGAGAAAAGAAATTGATGATTCTGGACTTCAAGATTTTTCCACTTGATTTTGACATGTCTCAAAATTGAGGTCGAAATCAGTCCTCAATTCGACCTGAACAATTTCCATGCACGTTATTTTATTTTCTTATTCTTGTTACATTTTTCTAAAATCCTGACTTTTTATTTGTCTTCATTATCAAATGATTTTCTGTTTGATCGAATTTTTAAAAATAAAAATAAAAATTCCCATGCAACATGGACGTCGCTGCGATTGCAAACCATCACTGTCAGTGGTCATTTATATTTTCCCTAAATGCCTGTATCGCAGTTGATATTTTTTTTTACCAACCAGCTCTGTCATTAACAGAAGAAGCAAAAGGTTACAGCAGAGAGCGCAACCCAGTAGGGGCAAAATCATCTAACTTCTTCAAATATGGAAGATTGCAAGTATTATTCATCATTCAATCTGCCATGATATTACAATTCCAACAATAAAACTGAAAGAAACAATCCAAGCTTACAAACAACATTCAATAGATCTTTAGAAGACTTTTTTTTAATCTTACACCGTTCGATGAGAGTTTAGTTATCTGATTTCACAATGACTTCGGCTTATCCTTGTTATAAAGGACAACAAACCACATGCAAATAGCTTTATTTCAAAGATTTAACTGAAAAGATAATAAAAATTATGGGGTGAGAGAGGCTCGAACTCTCGACCTCAGGATAACTCAGAAGCTATGAGACCTACGCGCTAGCCAACTGCGCCACCACCCCTTGTTACCGAAAGCTGTTTTTTAAAGTATAGAACACATAAGTTTGGTTTTCTCCACTTTATATTCAAACACGCCTTTTCTTTTGAAGTCTCAATTGCAGAACTGAATCTCTAAATGGAAGACGCAAAAGGGTTAAAGGTGTAAGAAATCGATCAACGCTTAAGAAAATAATATATCGGTTTTTTGGCTATCAAGTATTTACAAACATGGCAGTGTTTGTAGCAGGATATTGTTCAACATTCTTGTTACATGAGAGTATGAATGTAGTTAGAAACAAAATATAATTGCAGCTCAACGTGAATGTGAATCCTCTGACTGAACACTGGTGTAGGCGTACTCCCTACTTTCCACCTGGCAACCATTTCCATTCACCTCTGTCCACGAAACCTTCCATGTCTTCAGTAGGCTTATCCTGCATATGTAAGGACCTTCATCAGTATACCCATTACTGACTTATCCCAACCGATTCTCAAAAACCTAAATACGGTTCGATCGAGGTGCTCAGAGTAACTAAGAAGATTACCTGTTTGTTTCAATCGTCCTCTTCGCCAGCATAAGTGTCAAAAACACAGGAACCATGGCAGCACACAAGTGCTTAAGGGTGTGCCCACTTACAACATGATGGGTCCATTTGTATATTACTTTATCCATTGCTTCTTCTATCTTAGCTAAAAGATAGAATCCTGCGATTGTAGATTTACGTTAAGAGATGCGTATTCATATCATGTATTTGGAATCCTGAGGGCCATGGAAGACAAGAACAAACCTGCTGCCCAAAGCCAATATGCAGAATGTGTGTACATTGGCGGCAACAAGATAGCCATGAGGGGGATGGCAATGCAAGGAACAAACTGGACAACGCCATAAAGTCGGAGGTCATCAAAAAACCTGCAGCAGAAAAACGGTAGTAAGACATGTTGAAAGAGCCAGCATAAGAGAATACGCTGCAAAATCTTCAGAAATCCCAACTTAAACAGACCAATAGACTACAAAAATATCATGATCACAATTCACATTTCCTAAGACATCATTGATTACAATCCCAACCTATCATTTAGTTTAACATTTAACATCCTCCCTAGTCTCTATTAAAACTAGTCCAACAGGAAAAAGGAACGGGGGGGATTCATTTCCAGATTGGAAGCAAAATCGCTTATTTCACAGGACCAAGACAAGAAGTTCGTCTACAAATAAGAGAATCACATCCTCAACTCCTAAATCAATTTCTATAACCAAGACCTACAAGAACGGACTGTGGCAGAAAACTTTTTTTTTTTCATTTAGAAGAGGACTATTAAGCAGCATGCTTGCCTCCAGTACAAGATACTGATTACACCAGCCAGCAGAAGTGGTATGATGGAAACTGTTCCCTTTTGCTCATCAATTCTTTCAATGATAAATATTGCCACGATCGATGTGAATGCAATTGTCATCTATACACAATGCAGTTAAAGAAACCGTCAAAACAAAAGCATTCCAAAAATCCGAAGCCTACTATGCATCAAGGGAAAACAAACTGACTGGTAATCTATCCCACACGAGCCGAGCATCATCCGGGTCGAGATGATAGTATGAGGAACCAACCCCAACAGCAGCCACACCAATGAAAAAACAAGTCCAACCCCATAGTTCCCCTTGCAAACTTTATTACAGATTTAAAACTCGGTTAACAATCAATAAGACAGAGGAACTCATCAAACAATTTGATATAAACACAAGGAACCCGACTTACCTAAACTTGAAATAATCCTTATAAAAACACAATACAAGACCTATAACACCAATAACTAGAAAGGGAAAATTCGAAACCACATTTAACGTATTGGGTATACCTGGAAAAGAGCAACAATAAGAACCCATTAGAGTAATAATTCTAAGTTAACTATATGAATAGCTAAGGTGATTTAAACTATGGATTTTAACCAGTTGCTAAAAGAAAAAAGGGAAAAATATACTTAATTACTGATTCCGTTTCTCATTAAAGTTTTCACTTTTCTAACAACAAGTTATAAAAATTGATCCTAATAGCAAGGTATTGGACTTGAATCACATAGAAAAACTGAGATTTTCTTTGAGGGTTTACAGGGACCTAGCTTTTGGGAATTGTTCTTCCGAGATTCAAAAGAAGGAGCATTCATATATGAAAAAACAAAGCAAAGATTAATGAGAGGTGAAGTGAAATTAACCAAAGAAATCGAGTTGATCGGCGAAATCGTGGTACTCTTGAGACTGGGGGATAGCTGGAGTGACGATCATTAACACCAGGAAACATACAATAGCGACTCCCCAAGCGTAAAGGGTGCGTTTCCTCATGGTCTCTTCTTCTTTTGGCGCTGGAGTGGAAACAAAGGTGTTCAGATTTGTACTTTGGGTTTGATGGTTAAAAATATAAATCCTTTGGAATAATTGTAATTTACAAAAAGTCGATCTCGTTTTTGTTTCTTATGGATTAAGTCTTAAGTTTCATTAACGTCCACTTGTTGAATTGAATGGTATAGCTTTTCTGTTCAAAGCATGTTTCCATGGCGGTTTGCATTATTGGTGGAAAGTGATGGTCGGACTTCATTCTTAGGTTCTCAATTTTCCCCTTGTGTGTTTTACTCTTTGTTGTAGGATTTTTTTATTAATAATTTTGATTAGGAAAAGTAATATTTATCTAGATACAATTTAATTCATTTACAAAATAAATATTGGGTAAATTATATGTTTAGTACTTAAATGATCAGTTTTAGTTTGTTTTAATTTTTAATTTTTAATTTTTTTAAAATAATACATAAAGTTTAGTTTTTATTTCATTTTAGTATCATGTTCAAAATTTAACGTTAAATTTTGATTTTTTTAAAGTATAGGTACTAAAACGGATCAAAATTAATAATTTAAGTATTAAATGCTCTAAATTTTTAATGACGGGTACTAAAATAAAATAAAAATTAAACGTGAGATATTACTTTAAAAAATTAAAATTTTAAATAGTAAAAGACACTAAAACTAATAATTTAGATACTAAATATATAATTTACTCTAAATATTACGTAGACGCATCTCATCCGAGATTAGGGTAAATTCATATAATTCATTATGGTGTATCCATACAAGTTTTGTCAATGTGTTTGCCACCTTATTTTATTGTAGCTTTATTAATATACAGAAACATAGCCAGAATTTCAATTTGAGAAGGATAAAATATATTTTTTTAAATTAGAAAGACAATTTTATAATTATATCATAAATAATTAAATTTTATATATAAATCAAATGTAAAAAAAAATGTTAGATTGGGGGCCATAGCTCCTCCATGTCCTTAATAGTTTCGGTTAATATAAACAGAACAAAGATATCAGAAGAATAAAATATAATTAGTAATAAAGAGATAGAAGTTTATATGACAAATATACACATTTAAAGTAAATTATTTTTTTTTGCACGAATCAAGTGACATCCGTGTAAATGAATTATTGTTATTCTTGAGGACCCGAGTTCGAGTACTATAGATGTTAGAGGTGTGAGCGTTCAATGTTGAAAGATTTAGAGTTATATTCGAACAAATACTACATTATACTTACCCTATATTATTAAAAAAAAGTAAATTATTTTTTTATCAAATTCATGGACATCTTCAGCATGTGGTCAGCCTGTTCTTGAGTTAAGCTTGAACCACGGTGAGCCACCATTCACCGGTGGGAGGGTTTGGATATAATTTGGAATTTAGGATTTAGGGTATAATTTAGGAGATTAGTTATAATTTAGGGATTAGGATTTGGATCTAAATTTTACATGAATATTTTGGAATTTTATTTTTATTATAATCTTATGTGGTATTAAAAATATTAATAAAATATAACACATCATATAATAATAATAAAATAATTCATACCACTGTTGAGTGATAAAAAATAATATATAAAATTGAATCATTAAATTGAAAAAAAATTAAAAGTACATTGTATAAAATACGAGAGAGAATAAAATTTAGTTATTGAATCTATAGTTTATCCATTATATATATGTATGTAACATTCATAGCCCGTATACGTCTCAAAATATGAGCTAAAGATGTCACGTCAACTTTACAAATATTTACCGATCATAAATGCTTAAAATTTTATTCCATTATAAAACATTTCATTATTAACATTACAATTATTCCATTAATCGTATAAAATCATAAAATAATAATTATCATATAAATCAAGTTTAATTTTAGGCAGAAGTTTAATAGTTCAATAATAACAATACTGCTTAAAAACTACCTAATTTTAAAATATTTATTTTTCTCATAAAATATAATTTTTATCTAAAATATAAAACTTTAATTCATATTTATAACCCTAATAATATATCTTAGACGTTTCTTATTTGTATACATGTCATTTAGAAAATTTAAAATAGTAGGATGCCTTTACTAATACATGTAGTTGTTATTTGTTGATTGATGTCAACTCGACTCCTTACTTCACTTGCCATTCTTTACCTACGTGTGAAAATCATCACACGATAACGCATTCACTTAGTGAAGCATTATAAACAAACTAAGGTGACATAAAATATTAAACAACTTAAAAACATCATAACATTATTTTTCTTTATATAAATCTTAAAGTATCATAACAATTCAAAACATTAAACTTAAATTCAAATAAAATCATTGAATATCCAAACTGATTTATTCAAGCTGTTTTTCCACATTAGATACCTAAAAATTATCATCTCATGATTTTGTCAAAATCATGATAATCAATAATAAACATAACAATCATCTCATACTCTATTTCATTCAAATACTTTTCAGAACTTTCTTATTTTATTCTCATTTTTCACTTTCATATCCATTCACATATTCATTTTATATTTCATGTTCATAATAAATACTTTCACATTTCATGATTTATTTTCTGAATCAGAACTTATTTCCAGACTCATAGTTTATTTTCATATTCATACCTTATTTTCAAATTCATAACTCAATGCATATTTATGAGAATACAAGGTATGTGAGTAGAACATAAGGTGCACATAGGGCACATCACGATGTCAATCTTTAACTTATACATATAATGCACTCCAAGTGCAATCATAACATGAGCACCAACGGTGCAGATCATAATGTACATGAATGTACCATAACTTAACTGGAAAGTACTCAACTTAATGGCATGTCAAATGTACCTACGACTCTCAATGCAACATACAATAGGTTTTTTCATTAATCATTAAATATTATTCAATTATCAAAGATATCAATATATCAACATATTCAACTCTTCATATCATAACATAATGGGCAGTTCATACCCTAAACATTTCATTTCCACATAACATTTATATATTATAATCATCGTCAATTATCTTTCTTTAACATAAAAACTTTATATTAATCATGTAATAAATATCATAACTATGATACCAATTGTAATAAAGTTTACTTATTTTGAGCATTTATAATAACATATAACATATGAGTAACATGAAAACATAAATTATGACAAGTTTTATATGCTGGCAATAACATGAAAAGAAATATTATTATGTATTAATATACACAATTAAAAATTATTTTATTTATACCACTAGAAACTAGACTCGAATACGAATCTAACTATATAAGACACATTTTCTAGTTCATCTTATACATTTTATAGTGAATTTTCGAAGTTGACCTATAGAAGCTATTTTGAGCAGAATCTGCTGCCTTGCTTTCTGACCTATCCTCAATTAAAAATTCATATATTTTCGTATATCTATCGAAACCAGTATACATTTGTTTTAAATGAAATTATACTGACATACGAATCCAACGTGTAAAAATCATCCTCTAATCATTTCTTTATAATTTATGATGATTTTCTAAATTTACTGTTCATGACACAAATATGGGTAGATTTCACTAACTTATATTTTCAGCTTATTCACTAATTATATTAGCATATTAACTGCACATATATGTATGAATCACAATTCACATAATAGTTAGAAGTTACATCTTACCATAGTAATTCCATCATTGACTCATCGCAAGCCAATGTTTGTTCGATAACACAAATACGAATTAAATATGCACTCATCTGATGTCTTTAGCTTGTAAATCTTCCTAGAACTTCATATTACGTCCTTAAGCTTCTCCTTAGCTTTAACATTGCTTGATCTTGATTTCAATCATAATCTTGAAGCTATGGTGGTGCACGTTTTGGGGCTAAAATTTCTGATTTTTCTTCAATTAAAACATAATACACTTGGCTTAATATAAATGAATTTAAAATTCATTTAATGTGATATTATCATTTTCCCCTTAATGAAACATGATAATTTCAACTTGCCATTGCATTATCATCCCTTTTAATATTCCAAAGTCAAATGTGAACAAATAAAAATTCATTTTCCACCTTTGTCCTTGCAAATTTTCAAAACTGCAATTTAGTCTCTAAATTTTCCAATTTCAGCTAAATATGTAAAATCAACTTAAATTCCACCGATCCACATTAAATTTCACTGTTCTAAAATTTGGAAATAATATTTCCAACCTTTATATATCATCCTTTAAATTTTCGTAAAATTTTGGTTTGATCCGATTATCCGATTTTCTTTCGGACTTTACTGCTTTATAGTTTTTAACACAAATTCCAGATCAAAATTTTGATTCCCACAAAAACATCATTCTTTGGGTTGAAATATTCATTTATGGGGTCAAAATACCTAAATTTTAAAAATTACTCTTTTGGTCCCTAAAATTTTCCAACTTTCTACTTTGACCACTAAACTTTCAAATTTTATATTTTGGTCACTAACCAAAATTTTAGTATTACAATATATATATATATATATATATATATATATATATATATATATATATTGGAACAATTAAAAAGCTTTTTTTGGGTAAATTAGATAAAAAAAACTATTGTCCAAAGACCTATTTGATGTTTCAGTGAACAATTTATTACTTTTAAAACTTTAGTGGAGAAAACATAAACTTACTCAAATATTAGTTATCATTTGTGTAATTTAACCTTTTTAATATTATAAATTCATTATAAAGGTATAACGACAGTTAACCCTCGGTCACCACATCTTAACTAAATAAATGAAAGTGACCGAATATTATATTTTTTTTGAATTTAACGAGAAAAAAATATACAAAACTTAGACAAAAGTGATCAATCTTATAGGTTACCCTAAGGGTGCGTTTGGTTCACGGAATGTAAGATTACCAGTGGGAATAAAAGATTACCAGGGAATAGGATTACTGGGAATGTTGTATTTTGTGTTTGGTTGGTTTAGTATGAATGTAAGATTACCGTGTTTGGTTAAAGGAATAAAAGATTATTGGAATGTATATTTAACCAAATTG